GTATTTTAAATATATAACATAATTTTTAATTTTACTATTGTTATTTTTTTGCAGAAAATTTTTATAAAATCTCCATACAAGATAAGACTTTTCTAAATACTGATGTAATTACACTTCCAAATGTACGACTAAAAAGATTTGCTGAATCTCTTGTAACTAATACTAGTACTACTTCTCAACAAAAACATATTTCTATTCAAGCAGTCATAGACAAAAACAATGGAACAAAACAAACAAAACAAGGTAAGTACCTACAAATCCAAATTCATAGGATCAAGCAAGTATTCATCAATWATAATCAAATCAAATCAAATATTGTTTTTCATCACATATTGGCTATCTATTTTTGTCATATTTTTGAGAGTTCACTTTAATTGACACCTTGTATAGAAATCAAGTTAGTTATTAAGGGGAATGACAGTTTCTATTGATCTAGAGAAGTCCAACATAAAGTATCCCATTCTTGGGGTTATATAATGTACATATTGATATAGTCACAATATTGTGTATATTACTCAGGGCAGTAGTCACAGAAGGGGCTTAGCAAGTTCAAAATCTTCCCATTTAGCACTTGGAAAGTATATAAATGTATTTATTATATTATTACATATAATTTTTATTATATACCAACTCGTATTAAATTTCTGTCCATGACACTGATATTACTTCACTATTTTAAATTGGAATAAAAATATTTTAATTTTATTAAATTTAAATTTTCCGTTCCCATTAAATGTAACTAAAGAATTTGTTTCTTTTAATTTTTTGGTGTATTATTAAATAAATTCAATCATTATTTTAATGATGTGTATTAATATTATGTCTTTGTGTATTGTTTAATCAACACGTTTTGAATTTGAATATTTTTTTTAAATATTAAAGTTTTACTGTTAATATATAAACTGATAAATATTTGTTTTTAAAGATAAACTAATTTTTAAATTTTTTTTTCTTTATTTGGGGTTGAGGCTTCGACAACAAGGGCCATTTAGCCTGTGGAACTGTGGGGGTGAGAACTGTTGGTTTGGAACTTGTCGAGTCGTGGATGTTTGGCAGAATATCGAATGGGCACCCATAGGTTTCTGTCATGCTCCCGGAAAGGAGGGGGGGGGCTCTCTTTCCAGACAGTGTGAACTGCTTGGAAAGCGATGCCGCCCATGACCAGGAGTATTGCAACCAACGCTTAATCCGCCCGACCACTATACCCCCTTTAGTCTTTTTGTTTATCTTTAATTATCTACTAATTTAAGGTCTTAATTTATGTAGAAACAAATACACCAAACACTTCACCTATTATGAAAGACACTGATAAGGTTCTTGGAAAAAATTTGACTACAGTGACTCATGAACCTCCAGTTCAGGCGAGTTCTGGAAATATAAGTTATATAGGTAAAATTGTGTTTAATTTAAAAATTAATTTTACTTGATAAAATTAATATATTTCCTTTTTTTTTAGGAACATCCACGCCTATAGCTCTGCCAGTTGATTTAGAATTTCCGTCTGCAATTACCAATGAAACACTTAAAAATCATAATATAACCAAATCAAAAAATGTAAGTTGTATTTTCAGTAGTTAATTTTGGTATTAAATATACAATTAGAATGTGAAGAATGTCATTAAATTAATACAATGATAAACTATTCCATTCGAATAATTATCTTAAACAGAGCTCAGTTTACCAATTTAAAAGCTATATGTTTTAATATAAATTCACCTTATTAGTGGTTGCTTTTCATTCGATACATTTTTGGAATTTTCTCCAAAATTATAGGAATTAAATTTTAACTAGTAATTTTAATTTAGTATCTTATTAAATTTTAGTATATTATGTTAAATTTCTTAAGAAGATATCCAGTAAATAAATTATTTCCTCCACACAATCTCCTTCTCACAAAAAAAAAAACATTCTATAACACAGATTGATACTTAACTTTTCTAAACATAATCTTAAATATTCATTATGAGGTCATTTCTAAATCTATTAATATATAACAGTTCTTAAGTTATTTAATTTTGCATAGGTTCATTAATTATGATATAATGATAATATGCTTATCTGAAGATAAATGAATAATTGTTATTTTTTTTTAATCATAATTATGTTTGATAACTTGAATATTTTTTAAAGAATATGCATATTTTAAATCAAATTTATTAGTACATTTATTTAAAAATACATAGTTTCAGTTTTTATAATATTGATAATTTTTTTTAATTTTAATATTTGTGCTTAGAAAAAATAA